TACAACAACTCCAGCTGTCACAAAGCAGGCACTTGCAATTTTCAATATTATCATCATAATTATTATTATAGAAATGTTGTACTTTGTTAGCTGTCATAGGGGTTTCCTAGCCTAGGCAACAAATCTATCTTTATAAAAGCCTAATATGCAAAGTGTCCCCTCAAGAGTTTGACCGACCAGGAGTTCGATCACTTGCTATGACGTGCACTGACCACCAGGGGGCGGCATGGAATGAAAGAAGGCCCTGGCCAGCAGCCGGCAGTCAGGGAAGGGAGGTCCCAGCTGGCAGCTGGAAGGCCCTGATCGGCCCTGATTGGCAACTAGGCCTAGGGACCCTACCGGTGCATGAATTTTGTGCACTGGGCCTCTACTACATATATAAAAGCCTCTATACATATACAAATGAAATCAGACATAAAATAGTTCAGCCCAGCCAGTGTGGCTCTGTGTTTGAGTGTTGATCTATGAACCAGAAGGTCACAGGAGGTCACCAGTTCAATTCCCGTTCAGGACACATGCTCGGGTTGTGGGCTCGATAGATCCCCACTGTGGGGCCAATGCAGGAGGCAGTGTAGGAGGCAGCCAATCAATGATCTTCCTGTCTCATTGATGTTTCTATCTCTCTACCCCTTTCCCTTCCTCTCTCTCTAAAAATCAATAAAAAAATATTTTTTAAAAATAGGTTGGTAAACTTTTATAGTATTTCTTCACATTTGGGGGGATCACAGAACAGAGTTGTTAGACTCAGCATATGTTTGGCCCATAGAAGGTACTCAGGGATGGGTTCTTGAATGAACAGGCAAACGAATGAATGGATAAACAAATCTCAATGACAATCACAAAGAGAAATCTGAGGATGAGCCCTGTGGATATCTGAGAACCAGAGGTATTGGGATCTAAACCTTTAAAGGTTGTTTAGATGTTCTTGCTAAGGAAAGGCAAAGAGAAAGGAAAAACAACAAAACCACAAAAGCATCTTAAACTATTAAGAGTTATTGAGACAGTCCTGGCCTGTGGGTTCAGTTGGTTGGGCATTGTCTGGTTCTCCAGGTCAAGGGCACATGCCAGGTTGTAGGTTTGATCCCCAGTAAGGGGCGTGCAGAAGGCCAATCACACATAACAATCTTTCTCCCTCCTTCCTCCTCTAAAAAACTCAATAAACTATTATCCTTTTGTTTTTTTAAAACAATTTGTATTGATTTCAGAGAGGAAGGTAAAGGGAGAGAGAGATAGAAAGAATCATTGATAGGCTGCCTGTGCGCCCCACACTGGGAATCGAGCCCACAACCCGGGAACTGAACCGTGACCTCCTGGTCCATAGGTCAACGCTCAATCACTGAGCCATGCCAGTCGAGCAAACTGTTATCCTTTTAGAAAAATGTTCTTATTGATTTTAGAGAGAGAAAAATAGAGAGAGGGAGAAAGATTGATCGAGTGCCTACAGTCAGACCCACAAACTGGGTATGTCTCCTGACTGGGAATCCAACTGGCAACCTTTCCATGCACAGTACGATGTTCAACCAACTGAGCCACACCAGCCAGGGCAATAAACTATTCTTTTTTTTAAAAAGTTACTGGGACATGTTGCAAGGAGAAAAAAGCAGACAATTAGTCTGAATGCTCTCTACTTAGAATGATCTCTACATCATTTGCAAAATGATGTTGGAATTATATCTTTACTAATCTTTCAAATACTGAGAAATGTGACTAAATAACAAAAGCTGTGTGATTGGGGAATCATGAAAGTGAGTACTCTACCAGTAAAATGTGAGAGGGTAGAAAGGAGAATGATTCAAACCAGGAATTCTGAGTCTGCTTATGTGAGTTTTGTCATGTCTGTCTACTAGGTCATTTACAGAGTGGAGAGGCCTCCTCCTCCCTGCCCTCTTTATTTATTTTCTGTTACCCACATAAATACCCAATGACCATAAAGAAGATATTTTGTGCAGAATTAACTAAAAAAGAAATCCTGAGCTGATGGGCCCTTGAGAGTTGAAGAGTTAAAAGTTTAATTGGATGACATTTTAGATATTTGCCTTTAATTTCTTCTTATTTAAGCATATCACTCCTGCTGGGGCCATGTTTAGCCATTTAAAAATAATTTAGTATATTGAATCTTTGGCGGTTTCTGTCAGTTGGATTATTCTTTCTATTAGAGTCCAGTGGTACTCAGCAGGTTTTGTTAATCTATATTTATTTATTTTATTATTTTTTATTTTTTAATCTTTATTGTTGAAAGTATTACATATGTCCCATTGACCTCTTCTACCCCACCCTCGCCCCCCATGTTAATCCATACTTAAACTTGGGTGACCTCACGTCCTGATTTGCCTGGGACAGTCCTGGTTTACACCTGTTGTCCCAGCACAATTATTAATAGCAACCTCTTCTACTCTCAATAGCATCCTGGTTTGGAAGATTAAACTCTATAATCACTCTAACTGTGACTCCTAAACATTTACAAGAACATGTCACACTTTTCTACTAATTGTTGAATTTGTAGCTATTTTATACAATTTCTGAGGCCCTTTCTTCTTTCTGGCCCATTTTAAGCATCCTTTGAACTTCAGAAGGCTCCTCACAGAGCCAAAAAGCCAACGGTGAGACAGAGAGAACTGCATCCACACAAAGGCAACTGTTGTTCATTAATAACACATATAAATTAACATGATTGCTAATTAATAATATTTTAATCATTTAGGTTGCATTTCTATTAATCAGCTATATTATTAATTCAGTTACATTAAGTGTTTAATGAATGCTAATGGTTGGCTGGCACCTACCTTCATAGCCAAACAGAAGTAAGAACAAGAAGCCTTCTATCTTGAGTGGCATTCTCCCCTTGTCCTTGGCTGCAGCTCTACCTTATCCAAGTGGAGAGCTTCCCCAGGAGCAGGAGATTAACTTGAGCACTGGCCTCATTAAGCACCTTATGCCATTTAGTTCTTAGGGCTTTGGCTGAGCCCCACCAAGTTAACCCATATAGTTACCTGCTTTAACAAGGAAGTCTTAGACAAGAATCTAGTGTCAACTGAGGTCTGGTTAGCCAAGGAAAATATTGGTTTTATTCTATCTTTAAATGTAAGGGAAGCACTGGAGGGAAATGGAAACTAGAATCAGAAGATCCAGGTCTTAATTCTTTCTCTGCCATCATCTTCTATCTAGTGGGTGACCTTGAGCAATTTCCTGCCAAATAAGCACTAACATTCAAGAGTTCTGTGAAAATGACATGGATTCCCCTCTTAGAAGGCAACTCGGCTTCTTGTTCATACCTATTCACTTGGGAAAATATTAAAATACATTGCTGTGTTATTTATAATAAAATGTTGGAAACAATATACATGGCCAGTGCAACAGGTATGGTTAAAAGTGCAACAGGTAGGGTTAAAAGCAGATTCCCAAGCCAGGAGGTGCAAATCCCAGCTCAACCATTTGTTTTGTGACCTTGGGCCAAGTTACTTAAGGTCTCTGTGTTTCAACTTTTTGATCTGTAATGTAATGATAATGCCTACTTCATGGAGTTAGTTTGAGAATTAAATGGGATTATATATGTAAAAAGTTCTAGAGATCCTTTTCACAACAGTGTGAATATGATTCACATTACTGAGCTGTATACTTAAAAATGGTTAAGACGGTAAAAAAAAACAAAAAAACAAAACAACAAAAAAAAAAAACCAAACTTGAAGCGATTGTAATAACAGGGATAATCACATGTCATGCCCTAGAGTTAGAAAAGGTTACAGATTTACACACTGTATGAAGCAACACTATGTGGAAAAAATGCAGAGAAAAGGACTGCGGTTTCCCTTGCCTTTTTGCTTCTTGGCCACCACTATCCTACCTCAGCTCCCAGGGTCCCAGACACCTTTCCTTCATTCCTCTTGTCAAAGAAGAAAAAGGCCAATATTAAAAAGATAATGGCCCCTCAAAATGAAAGTGTAATGAACTAATAAAGAGGAACAAAAAGGAACCAGAGAAGCGTTGTTCAATCAGCATTTATTGAGTGTCTACAAGCCTGACATTTATTCTGTATTGTATATGGATTCATTAAACAGACGAAGGTCTATTCAACAAACTCCACTGTTGTATTAAAAAGAAAAAGACTGTAAAGGAGACATATGTAGTACTTTAAACAATAAAAGAAAAGAAAAGAAAAAAAGGACTGTTTTATTAATTTTTTAAATAGAAAAAGACTGTTTACTCTGTATAATACTAATAATTATTAATCAATAATAATTTGATAAACAATAATTATTCAAGACAGAATAATTATTATTAATCATTAATAAATAATAAGTAATAACCCTTTAATAATTGAACAGCAATCCAAGAGCTGTGGTATTGCCATATTTTATTTGGAGGCTTTGGGGGGCGGCCTGTCTTGGCTTGCAGGGAAAGGGCCAAGCTGGGTGGTTTTGCTTCTCCCCAGAGCTAGACTTTCAGGCCACCCTGAGGTAGCGGAGGGAAGGTGGAGGTAGGGTCCCGGAGAGCCGCGGGGTGCTCCAAGACTACAACATTGCCGGGCCCCCACCTCTGCTGTTTTTCAGTTGAGACAATGGCGACCGGGAATGGATGAGCCGGGTATCTTTCATTACGCTTCTGTTATAAAAGCATTATAAAAATTAAAGAAATAAAATAAACATTTGTTTAAAGGGAGAAAGGAAAGTACCATGTTTTTGTTTCCTGTGTTTTCATCTGGACAACTCACAGCACTTTAAAATCAAAAGTAGGAGCCGAAGCACCTAAAGGTGGTCCCACTGGGGCTCGAACCCAGGACCTTCTGCGTGTAAAGCAGACGTGATAACCACTACACTATGGAACCTCCATGCAGAGAACGGCCATCATTTACTTATTTATAGTCTTCCATCATAAACCGCCTCCCGCTGAAACCACGCCCCTCCGCCGTAATTCCACCCCCGCGCTGGCCCCGCCCCCTCCCGAGAACCCGCGTTCGAAGTGGGCGGGGCGGAGCTCACGCTCCTGTGTTTAGACCCCTCGCCGTCTGCGCGCCAGGTTGTTCTTCCTGCCACCGGGTGTCTCTCTATCCTTCCCCCCTTCCCCGCTCAACCGCGGTGTTTGCGGGGTGGTCTCGCAGGACTGAAGAGGACACAACCCCTTAGGGCAGCTTCCCTCAGCTGGTGAGGTGCCCGCACTTTTCTCATTTTCCCCACGGGCACACTGAGCCGCTTCTGGCGGTTTGAAGGGCGGACAGGAGCGCTACTAGAGTCAAAGGTTCAGGCGGCGTGGAGTGTGGGGTGGGCTGGGGGCGGGGATCACTTTTATATCGGCATTTATTTTGTCAGGGTCGGAAAAGGCCGCTGGGGAGTCGGCCTCTTGCCCCAGAAGGTAGGCTCTTACTGCTCCCCTGACCTTTTCCACAGCCTTCTCTCTAGAGGGGCTAAACATTGCAGGACTTTTGTTTGCTTTGGCTGGGGTAGGGTTGGAGTGGTGGTGTAGACAAAACACCGCTTTATGGCTGGGGTGGGGGGTGAAGCAGGAGCGGACACAACGTTTGAGGGACCCAATGCAAAATAAATAGTGTCAGGCCTTTTGTTCGCGTTATTAAGAATTCTAAAACGGTTACCTCAGAGCACTAAACCCTTGAACCTGGCGCTGTGGTTCCAGGACTGTGGTCCCTATAAAGTGCTGGGACCCTTCATTACAAAGGGCGCCTGCGTGGTTTTTTTCCTGGTTTTCATTGTCAGTGTCATTTATTCATACCTTCACTCTCCCTCCTCCCCCCACTTGTGCCTCTGGCTGGGTCTTTGTCACCATCCTAGGATTGCTTGCCATCCTCAAGCTTGAAAACCATGTGAAACCATATCTTTAAGTGCTGAGTGGGACATGGCTGAAGGCTGTGGCTGTCCTTTTCACTGGAGTTTTCCTCCGAAGCTACCAGAATGATGGAGAAATGATACTGATTGTATGAAAACAACCCCTTCAGACAACTCCTGTCTTCCTGGGAAGGCCCCTGAAAGAAACAGGTGTGTGGAAGGTGCACTAATCTGGGGACCTGATTTGGATTCTAGTCCTCTCTTGGGTACTTACTAGCTGTGTCCTCTTGAACTAGTCAGTTCACCTCCCAAGCCTTTGTGTCCTCCTATATGAAATGCATGGGTTGGACTAGACACCCCCCCCCCCACACCCACACACACACTTTCCCCTCTGCGTCTAAATGTTATCCCAACTTTCCAGGTGGGAAAATGGAGGGAGTTATCTGCCATGTCAGTTTTTTCACAGAATTAGAGGCAGGCCTGCAGTTAGTGCTTGGGTTCTCTAGTACCAGGTTTCCTATGTCCTAGTCAGTGCCCTGGAATATTTATCGCGGGGCCCCTTCCAGAAGGCCTTTTTGTTGATGCATTCTGAGAGGACTCTTGAGCACTTGGTGCTTAGGTCGAAAGTCACGAGATGACTATGAGTGCACAGCCACCAGCGGAGGATGACTTCATAAAAGCTCCATGTTTCCTCCTAGTCAGTGAGTCATAATGACCCTAGGATGCTCAGTAATAAGTATGTCCCACCTGTTTCCAAACCCCTGTGAGTTCAAAACAAGGCTTCTAAGAATTGGGTCTATAATTATACTCACCAGTTGTGTTTTTGGTTTGTGTCTCTAGCCCAGTGATGGCGAACCTTTTGAGCTCGGCGTGTCAGCATTTTGCAAAACCCTAACTTAACTCTGGTGCCGTGTCACATATAGAAATTTTTTGATCTTTGCAACCATAGTAAAACAAAGACATATTTTTGATATTTATTTTATATACTTAAATGCCATTTAACAAAGAAAAATCAACCAAAAAAATGAGTTTGCGTGTCACCTCTGACACGGGTGTCATAGGTTCACCATCACTGCTCTAGGGAGTGCTTTGCTCTTCCTTCAGCTTCTTCCTGCCCTTGCTCTAAGGGTGGGTTTGCCAAGTGCAAGCTTTGGTCAGGTTGCCACACATATACTCCATGTAGAAAAGAAGCTGGTGCACCTCTGATGCATGCAACACAGGGTTCTGCCTTTAGTGAAAAACTCCTCTTGCTTTTCTCCATTTTGACAAGGAGGGAGACTTTTGTTCCACTCCCTGCTGTTGTCTAGGTGTAGTCACAGTCTTCGTAACTAGTGAAGTACAATATGGTTTACAAAGCACTTTCGTATACATTCCTGTGAGGTAACCATAGTAAATATTACTATATATTTTTCAGCTAAAGAAGTTGAAGCCGAAGATATTGAATGCCTTGTCTGAGACCATTCTGCTGGTGAGTGGCAGGGCTGGGCTCATACTCTTCTGATACCTAAGTGATTTCGGGAGGCCCGTGTCCACAAAGGCTACATATTTTTCCCATGAGGGCCATGGTCTTTTGTAATATTTTGTATGAATGCCAGCAAGGAAATGTAGACTTTTTCTTTTTTATCTTTTGTAATTTCAAATGAAATCCACAAAAGCAGGAACCAAGAACCTGCGGAAACAGCTGTTGATTTTCACATCGAAACCACCAGAGTCATGGATAGTACCTCAGATGGCCACAGTTTTGGCCGGCACTTCAGTCTGTTTAGTTGGATTTGTGAGACCTGTCACCCCGAGGTAATGCCTATGATCATCTCAACAAGTATAAGACAAATATACAAAGTAGTAAATAAAGACTAGAAGTCACTTCAAGGTTTTTGAGTCCTTTGATTTCTACTATGTTCAGTGTGGCTTCCTCAGTGTTTGGCTTCACTGATGGAGGGAAACTCAACCAAAGGGACTGCAGTCCCAAACACTGACCTGATTTAAAAAGCTCAGTGGACTTGGTTTCATTTTAGAAACAATTGTACTATGTTTTTCAATGAGTACTCAAGTATTTATTAAGTAAAATGAGTCATTACCTCAGTATAATAGACTTCACCTTATTTTTTCCCCTTTTTCGGCACATCATGTTCAAAGCATTTGGAACTTTTTGCCCACCTACCTTTTCATAGTTGCTTAAATCCCTCTGTCTTCTTACCCTGCTCAAGTTCTGTGGTCATTTTTATCACTTGTTTGCCTTTTTTGTTGCTTGTTGCAAGATCACAATCTGCTAAATTCAACTCTCTCCTTGCCACTCCACCTCTGAATGAGGCCCCAGGAAGAACATATATTCAGGCCTACAGGTTTCATATTAAATTCTTGGCTACTTACCTCAAGTGAGCCCTTGATGCGGCCCAGAATCATGTTCACTTCCCTTGTCCATTCATTATCCACCTTTCCTAAAGGACAGTTTCATATCTTCTCTCCCTAAATTTCTTGAACCTCCTTCAACAATCTCACAGCTGATGAACTTGCTTCCTATTTCAATGAAGAAATGGAAGCAATCACCCACATCTGCCTACCTACCTACATCTGTGCCCTCTAGATCAGGGTGTCTTGACCACAGTCCTATTGACTTTGGGACTGGGTAATTCTTGGTTGTGGGGAACTTTCCTATGTACTGTAGAATGTTTCAGAGTATCCCTGACCTCTACTCACTGGATGCCCATAGCATCCCTCCCTTAGTTGTGATAATTCAATATATCCCCTGGGGGAACAAAATCTTGGGGACTATTGACAGTATCTGCAGACACTTTTGGTTGCCATTGAAGTGCTATTGGCATCTAGAGGATAGAGTCCAGGGATGCAGTGAAACATCCTGTATTGCACAAGGCAGTACTCACAATGAATTACCTGGTCCCAAATGACTATGGTGCCATTGTTGAAAAATCCCACCCTAGATGAATAGTCTGCATTTCTGTTGAAACCCAGCCCCCCACCTGCTCCTGCAGGAGTTGGAGGAGACTCCATGGCATGTAACACACATACGATTTTGACAGTATGTTTAATCTGCCCACCAGCTCTGAGGGAATTGTCTGGTGTTCCAGTCCCCTGATTAAAGTTTATTATCACACTAGTGGCCCAGTGCATGAAATTTGTACACGGGGGCCAGTATAGAAGACAGTATTGTTCACTATAATAGTTCCCTCAGTCCAGCCTGTACCCTCTCCAATCAAGGACCCCTTAGGGATGTCCAACTGCCCTATGGGATCAGGCCTAAACCAGTTGTCAGACATCCCTCTCGCAATCTGGGACCTCTGGCTTCTAACCGCTCACCTGCCTGTCTATCTGATCTCCCCTTACTGCCTCTACCTGCCTGCCTGATTACCCCTAACCCCTCTGCTTGCCTGCCTGATTGCCCCTAACCTCTCTGCCTGCCTGCCTGATTGACCTTAGCTGCCTCTGCCTGCCTGATCACCCCTAACTGCCCTCCCTTGCCGGCCTGGTCTCACCCCCAACTGCCCTCCCCTGCTGGCCTGGTTGCCCCTGACTGACCTCCCCTGCTGGCCTGATCTCACCCCCAATTCGTGCATGGGGTGGGGGGAAGTTCCCTTAGCCTCTCTGCCTGCCTGCCAGATCGCCTCTAACTGCCCTCCCCCGCTGGCCTGATCTAGCCTCCAACTGCCTCTGCCTGCCTGATCACCCTAACTGCCCTCCCCTACCAACCTGCTCTCATCCCCAACAGCCCTTCCCTGCTGGCCTGATCTCGCCTCCAACAGCCCTCCCCTACCGGCCTGATCTCGTCCCCAACTTCCCTCTCTTGTCGCCCAAATTGCCCCCAACTGACCTTCCCTGCTGTTCTGATCTTGCCCCCAACTGCCTCCGTCTGCCTAATTACCCCTAACTGTCCTCCCCTGCTGACCTGATCTTGCCCCCAACTGACCTCCCTTGCCGGCCTGATCTTGCCCCCAAGTGTCCCCCCCTGGTGGCCTGGTTGCCCCCAACTGCCTTCCTCTGCCAGCCTGGTTGCCCCCAACTGCCCTCACATGCCAGCCTGATTACCCCTAACCCCCTGCCTGGTCTTGCCCCCAATTACCCTCACCTGCTGGCTGATCACCCCTAACTGCCTCTGCCTTGGCCCCCACCACCATGGCTTTGTCCAGAAGGTAGTCGGATGTCCGGAAAATGGCCAGTTGACCTGGTCTAATTAGCATATTACCCTTTTATTAGTATAGATAGATTATATAAAATAGGATTGCTTAAATGAGGTGGGGGAAGGCTTTTCCTGATCTTGCCCCCAACTGCCCTCCCCTGCCCCAGGCAATTTGGTTTTGATTGGTCAGTTTCTATGCCAGTCAGTGTCAAAAGCTCCACCTCCTACGCAGCCATTGGCTTCTCACAGTTCATCCAGATTTGGTTCTGATTGGTCAGTTTCTATGGCAGTCAGCATCTCTGGGCAGATAGGCCCAGATGATCAGAGAGCAGAGAGGCAGGGCTGATTAGCAGCCCCTGCTGAGGCCCAGAGAGAAACAGAGGCATGGCTGCTGGTGAAGCCTGAGAGAAAGAGAGAGGCAATGGCTGATCAACAGCTGCCACTGAGGCTGCAGATCAGACCCTGCCTCTCTCTCTGCAGACCTCTCTCCGGGCCTAACCCGCAGCCCCCTCGGCAGTCAGTGCTGAGTCTCCATGGCAACCCAGCACTGACTTCCGGTGTTAGGTTGAGCCTTAGTTTGTTATGGACCCTGGCTCTTTATATATATAAATGTTTTCAATATGTCTAGAAGCACAGTGTTGGGCAGTGTGGGAGTTTTACAGAGAAGTATATGATATGTGTGACTGCCACATCCATTTGCAGCTGAGGTTCAAGGTCTGGAGAAGGAGCTGATGCACAAACGGATATACTAGACAAGAAATATAAATTTAGAAGGCATTGGGGGAGACCTTACTCTCTAGTTGAGAGGTTCTCTGAATCTCCGGACCCATAGCTTTTTATTTATTAGAATATACATTTTCCTTTGAGCAAAGCAAACACAATATCAAAGTTAAGGTTTGGTGAACAGTAAAAGATTATCAGGTTAGGGGATTGCCTTGAGCCATCATTGTCTTGACAGAACTATTGGTGCATAGCTTTTAGCTCTTGCTAAAGCCCAAGGTCCATCAGCCTTCTGTGTTCCTTACTGCACTTTCATGATAGTGTAGACAATGGGTAGCTTCAAATGGCCCTATCTTGGGCATTTGAAGAACATTAATTAACCCAAAGGGCTATTTTGTTCCAAGATATTAATGGATGATAATCATTGCATGTAGTTTCCTAACTTAGGATATTATTGGATTTTAATTAGACCCTGTCTCCTCTCTCTTAAAGAAGAAACTCAGAAGTGGAGAAGGCAGAGGGGAGTGGGGCCACGGTAATATGCAGAAACCTGTCCAATAGTAAAGATGGCCTCATGTGGCATTCCTCTCAGAAATAGCTATCTATAATCTCCCAAATCACCCACAACATGTTCAGTGAGCTTATATTTGATAGAGATAGCCATTCAGGAGATAAAGAGATCAGTTCAAAATCTTTTGTCTCCCCCTCCCCTATTTATATATCTTGAGATGCCTCTAATTTTAAAGTCACTCTTTTGGGGCTGTGTAATTGAACACAGAACAATTTGGCTACTCCCCACTCCTACAGAACCCCACTTAAAAGAAAATGTCTGATAGCAGTGTCTAGCCAGTGGTAATTGATGATAGAAATGAAATTGGCTATTCCCTCCACTTCTCTGACACTTAATGTCTTCTTTAGATTTATAAGTGGATTCAACTGTGCACACAATGTGACTTGCCTCTAAGCTTGATGGGAAGTTTTTAGGAGTGGTGTAGGTATTAAACAAAAAATCATATAGTATATTTTTATTAGTGATTTTAAGTATTCATGATTTTTGGGGTATAATTAGGGTATAGTCTAAAGGCTATATGTAATAATAAAACCAAACTAATTAGGTTAACTCAGAGGCTGTCTGCAGGCAAGTAGCTTTCCTCTGCTAAATCTTGTTAAAATGAAGTGGATTCTATTTTGTACAGAATGAGCAGGCTGCCATGACAACTGACTGTGAATAATATTTCAGTATTAGTCATACATTTCCAGTGTCTGACTCTGGGTCCAACGATTATTCTAAAACCCAGATGCACATCTATTCTTAAAGGAGTTCTGGACGTATTTACAAAAAAAAAATACCCAGAAACAAAACACTTTCAACTGCCTAGGTTGTTTTCTTTTGGAATAGCTATTTGAATGAATTTACACAATTGCAAATTGTAGATATTTTATTGCTGTTCTTTTCTTTTGGAGAGATGATTTGGGTATGAATTTATATTGTACTTGACTATAGAATTGATTAAATAGACACACTAGACCAGAGTTTAGAAAGTTCCCCTCTAGGTGTGTAATCTTTATGTTAAATTCTTTTTTTTTCATCTAACAGTTTCAGAAGGAATCTGAGGTTGCAAGTGACAGAAAATTCAGCCCAAACTGAGTAGGCAAAACAGGTCTCAAATGAATCTGACTTGAAAATTCCGAAGGTAAAATTTCATCCAGAGTTTCACAATGAAGGGCCCCAGCTCCATTTCCTTGCCTTTCCTTTGGGCTGACCTTCTCCATGTATCAATTGCACCCCCCAGGCTGGCTCTCCTCATGGTGATAGCGTTGCTCAGAGCACAGCATTTGGGGGAGAAGAGTGAATTTGTGTCCCAGCCCTGAGATTTGCTCGTAGTGCCCGTCTTTAGCTACATGTTCACACAAACACTCCCTTGTGCTAGAAGACAATGTAGGTCAAACCTGTGACCTTCCAGTGTATAGGACGGCACTCCAACCACCTGAGCAAAGGGAGTTTATTTTTATCTCACACACTATAAAATCCAGAGCTTCATTCATAATATGAAAGTGTTCATTACAAATAGCTCTTATTTACCTGTTTAAGTAAAAGAGTCATTAAACATATAGACATTTCCTGGCTTTAGTTACATCAGATTAATTTATATTATGTTTCTTTGAGATTGCTGTGTAAATCAGACTTTTAACTAAGTAGGAATGACAGTCCACCTTACTGGGATAGGTTAGTGAAGTTTCACTACATTAATGATTCCTCAGTTTGCTTATAATTGTTATTTCTCTCATTCGTTTCAAATATTTGAAATTGTTAGCTTATGGCATTGTTTTAATTATATATCACAGCATTCTTTTGTTCTCGTGATACTACTGAATTGGCCAAAAACATCACGATAACATTGTAGAATATAGTTTGACTTTAATAGTCATGAAAGGGTGGATTGTTAAAGAAATAGAGATTTAAACAAATAAAAGTCATACTGAGTTACAGAGCAGTGCTGCTCCAAGTATACTTCCCTATCACTTGGGAGCTTTTTAGAAATACAGATTCATGAGCACCACTTCAGGCCTACCTAGTCAGAATCTCTAAGTGGATGGGCCCAATAATTTGTGTTTTAACAAGACCCCCAGGTGGCTTTTAAACACATTAAAGTTTGAGAAGCACTGTTTTAGAGAGTTTTATGGAAATGAGAATCACAGATTGTATATTCTTTGGAATATTGGTGAAAATACTAACTTTAGCTTTAGTAAACTAAGACCTATATATTAAGGCCTGGATTTTCCTTTGAAAGCCTTCAGGTCATGGAGTTCACTAATCTACTCCAGGTCACTGAGCCTCAACTCAATGTCTAACCTTGACTCTCTCCCCCTATCAACACTGTCACCTAATTAATCTGTGTTCATCTTGCAGATGTCAGTACAAAGGCTATTTCCTCAGAGAAGCCTATTTTCTTGACCTTCTGATTCACTCTTACAATACATGTACTTCTCGGCAAATTTACATTTATTTTTGTAATTTTTATTGGTTTCAGAGAGGAAGGGAGACTGAGAGAGAAATAGAAACATCAATGATGAGAGAGAATCATTGATAGGCTGCCTCCTGCATGTCCCCTACTGGGGATCAAGCCAACAACCTGAACATGTGCACTGACCAGGAATACAACTGACACCTCCTGGTTTATAGGTCAACGCTCAACCACAGAGCCACACCGGAAAAGGTATTTTTATAATTACTTGATGAATGTTTACTTCCCTCACTAGACCTTGTCAGTTCTGTTAACTGGGTCTAGAACAATGCTGGGCACACAATAGATGCTCAACAAATATTTGTTGAATGAATATATAATGAAACCAAGACAAGAATAAGTGCTCTTAAAGAAAATTCTCTAGCTCTGGCCAGTGTGGCTCAGTTGGAGCATCGTCCCATGTACTAGAAGATTGCGGGTTTCGTCCCTGGTTGGATTGTGCAGGAGGCAACTGATCAGTGTATCTCTTTCACATTGATGTTTCTCTCTCTCTCTCTCCTTCCCTCCTCTCTAAAATCAATAAAAAAAATAAGAAAATTCCCTAAAACTTTTCCAAAGGCTTCACCATAAGTTATTAGTCATTTGAGACTATAGTAGCAAGGGTTTTGAAAATAAAGCCATGGATCTTTCAGAGGTCTTGTTTTAGCTAATAATTTCAACATTTTCCCAAGAAACCAACTGTTCTTTATATTTTATGTTTATGAATACAAAAATGGTTGACGGGGGTAATGGTGGCAAAAAGAAAGCTTGAAGGACCTTGTACCTGCCTTTTCAATAAGTAGGAAGTGGTTTTTGTATGCAGGTTGTGTTGTTCACCTTATGTTGGCAGGTGATGATGTCATAATTGCATCTGACATCATGGGGTTGTCATGGCAACCTACTGAAAAATCACTGTATAATCATCTGTGCAGTTAAGTCTCAGTTCTCCTCAAGTAACACCTATGAGCAAGAGGATGAATTGAGTCCGAGCCTCCAGCCCAGGCCAAAAGATACACCAACGAGCCAAGTAAGTATCTGGAAGTGTGAAACTGTTATAATGTGGAAGGATAGGAACTCTTAAAGGAGAAGATTAACTAAATGAAATCTGGGTAGTCATGGAAACGTTTGAAAGTTAAGCTTTCTGTGTTTAGTTGTTTGGCCAACTCTTATGGGCTTTATGTTTTGTGTATGGAATTTATTGTACTTTAATATCTCTATATAGAAAAGCCTAAGCGACCATCTGACCATCCGATCGTCCGACTGGTAACTATGATCTTCAATGACCACCAGGGGACAGATGCTCTGACAGGTAGCTATACCGCACACTGACCACCAGGGGAAGACACTCAACACAGGAGCTGCTGAACTCCAGTCACTTGGCAGCTACAGTTCTTGGATGATGCACCCAGAACCAGAGAGGAAGGAGCCCGACTCCAGGGTGCATTACCTGAGAACCACCCTCTCGCAATCTGGGACCACTTGGGGGGATGTCAGAGAGCCGGTTTTGGCCAGATCCCTGCATGCCAGGCCCAGGGACCCCACTGGTGCATGAAGCCTCTAGTATATTATAAAATTTGTACACTCGGGGGTGGGGGGTCCATCAGCCCGGCCTGTGCCCTCTCACAGTCTGGGACCCCTTGGGGGATGACCACCTGCTGGCTTAGGCCCTATCCCCCGAGGGATTGGGTTTAAGCTGGCAGTCAGACATCCTTCTGGCAGCCCGGGAGCCCTTGGGGAATGTCCACTTGCCAGTGGGGAGCAGGCCTAAGCTGTAGTTGGACATCCTTAACACTGCTGAGGAGGCGGGAGAGGCTCCCACCACCACCACTGTACTGGCAGCCTGGCTTGTGGCTGAGCAGAGCTCCCCCTGTGGGAGCGCACTGACCACCAGGGGGCAGACGCTCAATGCAGGAGCTGCCCCCTGGTGGTCACTGTGTGTCATAGTGACCAGTGATTCCCAGTCGCTCTGCTGTTAGGGTCAATTTGCATATTACCCTTTTATTATATAGGATAGAGGCCTGGTGCACGGGTGGGGGCCAGCTGGTTTGCCCTGAAGGGTGTCCAGGATCAGGGTGGGAGTCCTGCTGGGGTGCCTGGCCAGCCTGGGTGAGGGTCTGAGGGCTGTTTTCATGCTGGCCACACCCCCTTCATGGAGGGGGGTCCTGCTGGGGTGCCTGGCCAGCCTAGGTGAGGGGCTGATGGCTGTTTGCAGGCTGGCCACAGCCCCAGCCACCCAAGCTCCCAGTGGAGGTTGGCTGGAAGCAGGTATCTGAGATTTATTTAGCTTCTATAATTGAAACTTTGTTGCCTTTTGCAGAGGCCACAGCCAGCCAGGGCAGACAGGAAGCTTAGAGCTTCCTCCATCACCAGGGCAACCAAGCCTCCTGCTTGCTCCAGCTCCGTGGCTACCAGCCACCATCTTGGTTGGGTTAATTTGCATATAGTCACTCTGATTGGCTGATGGGCGTGGCTTGGTCGTAGGGAAGGTATGGTCAATTAGCATCTTTGTCTTTTATTAGTGTAGATTGGAGCTATCTTTATAGGGTTGAATTGGGTAACTTTGATGTAATAGAGTATTGGCCATCCAGTCATAAGACTGTGACATTCGGGAGCACTTACCCCCTCCTATGAAGTTGAGGGCCTGCCCTGGTAAGTGTGTTTGGTTGGAGCGTCATCTCATATACCAAAAGGTTGGGGGTTTGATCCCCAGTCAGGGCACATGCCTGGGTGGCAGGTTCTATCCCTGGTTGGGGCACGTACAGAAGGCATCCAATTCATGTTCTTTCTCACATTGATATTTCTATCTCAAATCAATAAAGAGGATTAAAAAACATTGGGGGGATTAAAAAGCAAAAAATGGAGGGTCTTTCTGAACAAGTCTAGAGGGCTATAGTATCTTGCCATATCATAGGCTCACCTATTATGGAGCGCTGGTTCAAGAACCTCACAGTGGTCTTGCAAGGGGACTCCATCATTGGTGCCTAGATAGTTTGCCCAATTCCCAGTGCTTGGACGTGAGAGCGAGTTGAGTAAAAGTATATTTTCTTGTTTGACTTTTGCCTTGGAATGGCAGATTAGAGCCCCCACAAAAGGAAAATTAGAATTACCATTGTTCTTCCATTGACTCATGCTAGATATCAAACTGAGATACTGCAAAACAGGAGCACATGCAAGCTAGAAGGGACAGATTGTGGCAATACTTAAAAATATCACAACTCTCTAAATAAGCTGGTCTGGTAAGTGGATTTGGAATTCAGACAAAAATACCCATAACTCTGAAAATCTGAATTGTATATTGCCAAGGTAAATTACTTCTATGCAGTAATTACAGAAGATATGTTGGATTATATGTTAACACCTATTTCCCTTGGTATACAGACATCCCTCTCTCCTGAGCCTCTTCCTTTACAGATTGCACCTTTGTTCGCTCCTTAATGTCTTTTATATCTATTGCCTTCTTACTCTACAACAGTGGTTCTCAACCTTGGCTGCACATTATAATCACCTGGAAATCCTTTTAAAATCCTGATTTCTCCCAGGCGATTTAATGTGCAGCCAAGATTGAGAACCACTGCTCTACAAGCTTACTCAGGCTATTTTATCTTCTCTAATCACTTCAGCTGTTACTGATACCCCGATGACCTCTTTAATCAGAAAGACCTGATTTATTTCCTGGGCTCTAAACGCCAGCTTCTAAAACAGTGGTTCTCAACCTTGGCTGCGCATTAGAATCACCTGGGAATCTTTTTAAAATCCTGATTTCTGGGCCTCATCCTCCAGAAATTCTGTTTCTTTGTTATGGGGTGGGGCCACAACATTAGCAACAAAGAAAGAATTTCCAGAGGATAAGGCCCAGAAATCAGGATTTTAAAGATTCCCAGGTGATTCTAATGCGCAGCCAAGGTTGAGAACCACTGTTCTAAAGCATATAGAACATTTCAACTTGTTCTTTATCTCCACCATAAACACACTTGTCCCCTTTCATGTCCTACCCCTGTACCTGTTAATACTCTTCTGCAGTTAATGGTATCACCTAGACCCGTGATGGCGAACCTATGACACACGTGTCAGAGGTGACACGCGGATTCATTTTTTTGGTTGATTTTTCTTTGTTAAATGGCATTTAAATATACAAAATAAATATCAAAAATATAAATCTTTTTTTTACTATGGTTGCAAATATCAAAAAATTTCTATATGTGACACAGCACCAGAGTTAAGTTAGGGTTTTTCAAAATGCTGACACACCTAGCTCAAAAGGTTCGCCATCACTGACCTAGACTGTAAATTGTAAGAGAGAAGGACCAGTGTTGTACCTCTAACATCCAGTATAGTATCTGGCACAAGGTAGACACCCAATAAATAGTATTAAATGAGTATGAATCCATTTATTATTCCAGACTATAAATCTTGGGATCATTCTTTTTTTTTAACCCTCACCTGAGGGTATGTTTTTATTGATTTTAGAAAGAGAGGAAGAGGGAGAGAGCAAGAAACATTGATGGACTGCCTCTTGTAGCACCCCAACCATCGAACCAGCAACCTGGGTTTGTGGCCAGATCAGAATGGAACCTACAGCCTCTTGGTGCAGGGGATGATGCTCCAATCAATTGGGCCACATTGGCTAGGGCTGGAATCATCCTTTTTTTAAAAGTTTTTTTTTTTAATCCTCACTCAAGGATATGTGCTTTTTAAAAATGGATTTTAGACAGGAATGGAGAGAGAAAGAGGTGGAGAGGGAGAGAGAGAGAGACGATGATGTGAGAGAGAAAAGGATCGGTTGCCTCCCATAGGCACCCAGACCAGGAATCAAACCCACAACCTGGGTATGTACCCTGACCTGAAATTGGCCTGCCACCTTTGCTCCCTATACCTGGTCTGGGACCAGTGGCATTTTGTACCTAAAAGGCTTTTATATTTGGCCCCTCATCTCCATACCTACTGCCAGGGCTTAAATTCAGCCCTTATATATCTACCTCCTAGATTGTGGCAGGAGCTTCCTCATTGGCCTTATGGATGGTGTTTTATCACCATTTGACCCTCAGAGGGATCTTCCTAAAGTTTGAATCTAATCAGATTACTCTCAGGCTCCCCTTCACTCAAACAGAGCTTGCAATCTGGCAGCCTCACACCGATCCATGGAGTTTATACAATGTTTGGAGAAAATGAGAATTACAATATTTCATTGATTCTAAGATGCACATGTTTTTCACATTTAACATCTCTGAAATCGGAGTGTCATAGTTGGGTAGGTGGCTTTTTTCTTTTTTATGGGTACATAAAATAGTGATGCACCTTATAATCGACGGCATCTTATATTTGCAAAAAATATATTCATACTCACATTTAAATATAGGAAGATTTTACATGAAAATATGTTTAGCTTCTCTTGAAAAATTACATCGGGCAACACGGCCAGGATTTCTGTATGGCAGCCTAAGAAGAGCTACCAGTAAGTAGCAGCTGTCTCGTTTAGACAAAAACTCTCTAGAACAGCCGTGGGCAAACTATGGCCCTTGGACCGGATTCGGCCCGTTTGAAATGAATAAAACTAAAAAATAAAAAAAAAAAAA